GGCCGACCTCGTGGAACGACGCCAAAACAGGATGAAGGGATTCTTTCGCTCGCCGATCGAGAAATGTTCGCAACGAGCCGCGACGTCGAGAATCGTTTGAAGAGGCAAGGGGTCAAGATTAGTCAGAGTACCATTCGGCGCCGATAAAATGAAGCAAGAAGGGGAATTTAGTCCTCCGATGTCCAGGCCTCTACTCACTGAAGCCGTCGAAAGGACCGTTTGAAATGGGTTGAAGCACACCTGTCTACCGATGGGGACCAGGTGATCTTCTCAGATGTGACTATGGTACGTCTGAATCTGGCGAAAGGACGCGTCTAGAATCTGTTGGGGAAAAAGAAAGCCGCCCTAACCGTAAAGCATCCACCAAAGTCAACGTGTAGGGATGCTTTTCGAGCAGAGGCTTTGGTTGCATCGTTTGCTTCAAAGAGAACCTCGACGCCACACTGCTTTGCAAACATCTACAAGTGCGGCCTCAAACCGACAGCCAGAGACAGATTTTTTTTCGAATCGACATAGTGGAAACTGCAGGAAGACGATGACCCGAAGCACAAGTCGAAGCTGGCAACGAAGTGGAGAGCAGAAAATGAGGTCGGAAAACTCGATCGGTCAACCGCGTCGCCGGACCTTAATCAGATCGCAAATGTGTTGATAACTACTCAAGATGCGGTTGCAAAGGAAAAAATTCGAACTGATCGGTCCCTGGTGTCTGCAATCAGACGGGAGTAGTAGGCACTACCAATGGAATTGGCCGAGAGACTTGAACAGAGTATGAAAACTCGTATTTCGGAAGTCATTGAGAGTCAAGGTGAATTCATACAGCATTGATGATCAGGGTGTACTGCTTACCTATGATAAAATAATTATCACAATCATCGGCTCGTCTAATAGCGTTAGCTGGGTTGGGCGACTTTTGACGAGTACTGTAAGTGAAGATATGGCATGCATTGGTTAGCAAGAAGTTCAAGTAAAGCTGCTTTACATTATGTGAACGAACCAGAAAGTTTTCTCGAGATTCAATTAGAAATCACCTTGAATGGAGAATCTCAATTAGAATAATATTTGGTTTAAAATAGGACTGTCAATCGATTAAAGTGTTTGATCGATTAATCGTGAGCCATTTTATCGATTAATCGATCTCTGTTATTCCTTGAACACGTGGAATGTTATTCCCTAGGCGTTGGGAATGATTCTGCTTGTGTCATTTCCAACACCTAGGCGAGCCTCAGTAAGTGACTCAAGGCGATGCAGTCGCTAACATAGCAGTTACTATCTATACATACACTAGTTCATCCTACATGTGATACATTCCAATCGAAAAGAAAATAGTTACAACTTAGCCAGATAACTAATGAAACTTAAAGAAGCGCAATGAGGCCCTTTGTCACTTAGCCAACCCATGACGGAAGGATGCAAACATGTAACCTAAATGATTGGATGTATATAGTGACAGCTCATTGTGCAGAGATTCAATGATTCATTAACACGTTGACGACCAGCCTATTTTTGCTTGTCCGCCGCGTGGGACCACGCGCATTTTTTTTTGTCAAAAAATTAAAAAAAATCTGCATCCTGGCATCAGGACGCATTGTCGCCAACGTGTTAACGATTGACGGGCAACACAGGATGGAAGAGCAAAAATAGCAATAAGCAAGGAATATGTTTTCACACTTTCCTCTTCTCTCGCCTGCCCCGGCTTTCCCCCTCTCTCGGTTACCTTCCGGGGGTTCCCGCAGACGTTCGCCGGTGCACTTACACGTACGCCTCTCACTCCCCAGTCTCTACATTATCCTCTTTCCTGCCTCTCCTGTCCCATGTCTCTGCCCAACTCCATTCTTCCTTCTGTGCTTTCCCTTGCAGCTTCTTCGTTACGACTTTCTTTTCCCCATTCGTATCCAGTGGTTTTTCGGTCGCTTTGCCATAGGACTCTGCTACCTTAGCCTGACGCGCGAGGCCTGCAAGGTGATGCCTTTAAAGGCCGTAGCAACCCAGTTTAAAATCCCAGCTGGAATATTCCAGCTGGACCAAAGCTGTAAATTCGGACCATTTCCAGCTGGCAAAGAGCTGGAAAACAGTAGGTACCAGTTGTTTCTTAGCTGGAATTTTCCAACTGGAATGCAGATGGTTTTAATAGCTGTTTCCAGCTGGAAATTTTCCAGTCGGAATTTTATGAAAAGAACCCTACAGCTGGAATGTAGCTAAATTTACCGTTTGAAATCAGCTGTTCCTGTTGATGGACCTCCGACAACAATAGTCAAAGAAAAGATTCTCATTCAGTTAGTTATATTGCAATTAGGAAGAACTCTGGAGTTGACTATTTTCCAGCTGTTACCCAGTTGGAATGGGTCCGAATTTACAGCTGGAGTCCAGCTGGAAATTATAGCTGTTTCCAGCTGGGATTTTAAACTGGGAAGGACCAGTAATAGAAGAGGACTGGACACTCCTCTGGAAATCGCGTATCAGCAGTCATCCACCCTGTGCAGGCAGCGAACCTGGTGGTCGCTGAGGAAAACTACATTTGTCTGCTGCTGTCTTCCATGGCGAAGCATGACGGACGCTGGTGTTCTGCTATTAATTGTAATAATTCCGACGGAATCTCGGGAGGGATTTACTTCTTCAGATTTCCAGGACTCCAAAATAGGTCTGTATTGAAGATTAAGTTATGTATGAGCCCATGTTTGCGTCTCAAGGATGTGCTCCTTCACCCTGAAAGAAGTCCAACGGCAGTCTAGATCCATCTACATATAATGAAAATAAACTCTCAGCTCTCATTGATAATAGTGAGAATAACTCATAAAAGCCGGTTATATTCTGAAAAGGAATATGAAAGTTTTCTCCATAAAACACAAACACAAAATCGACCAAGCTGTGATAAGTTGGACAACTTCAAGTTTGCTTCTTACAACTAATTTTAATTCACGTTCGCACAGAAAACTGCATCCCCAACACTCAAAGTTTTGTCAGCTGAGGCATGGTGCTTCTCGACCCTTTCCTCTTCCCTCTGTCTGATAATATTGAAGAATAAGTACTTTCATCGGTAACAACATTACTCTTTGGTTTCATGGTGTAGTTCATCCTCCTGATAAGATGCGCACGGAAAAACAGAGAGCAACGGTCGGAGACCGATGGAATACAATGTACTACAATGGGGCAACGTTGTGTTTTTTTCTCAGCAGCGGCTTGGAGCGCTGCCTGCACATCGCCATCATGTTGATACGCGGAGTGCAGGCGTGCCGCTTCCGAGTGTCCAGTCCTATTCTATTACTGGTCCTTGGCCGTAGGCTAGGCAGAAGGGGACGGCATGCGTACCAGTACGCTTGCGGACGCGAAAGGGTCCGGAAGCTTATTTTTGGAATATTCTGAAAACGAAGACTTTGTTTTTGTGTGTTCCCTTTTTCATAAATAGTATTGAATATGTCGTTTTTGAGGAAGCGTGAGCAGTTCGAAAACGACTACCTTCTACAGGGTGTCCCATAAGTCTGGAACCATAGGGCAAAATGATAACGACTTGTATTCACAGAATGTGTTCAATGTGTCCACCATTATGATTGATACACAAATGCAGACGAGGTATCCAGTCAGCAATCACACTTCGAATGGTGTCAGGAGTGATGGTGTTACATGCGTCGAAGATGCGCTCCCGCATATGCACGTCCTATCCTAACCCTATGGTTCCAGACTTATGGGACACCCTGTATAAGGAAACGGGAAGCAAGTTTGATTTCATCTCCAAAATGACGAAGGATAAAACTATTGAAAAAATGTAAAGTCTATCTGAAAGAGGAGAAAAACTGCTTAAAAAATGGTATAATTGCGAACATTTGGCGAAATTTTTTTCGTGAAAAATTGTGCGTTTTAATGTCAGCGTATTTTGGGGACACTGTACAGACGCGGACTGGGGGTGAAATGAGAACATTTTGTTTCAGCCTAACACTTCAAATTTGACATCGAAGGGTATAAATATGCCAAATGAGTAGAGAAGGTTCTTCTGTTCGTTCTCGCATACTTATCTCAATATATAAAGTAGTCTACTACGCTTGGGTTTGAATAGACTCAAGTTTCACGATAAGCGTTAAAAAGTTCAATTCTGTCTGTACTTTCATTCACGATGAGCGTGGCACCGTAAAAAGGAATCACTCTGGCACAGTAGGTCGACTTAGGTCAGAAGAAAGTTTGCGTCACTCCTGGCGCTGTGGTTAGCCATTGCTACACTGTTTCCGAATTGAATTCGTATCACCCCCTGTAGTGGAAGATGGAGAAAACACATTTCCAGAGGTTCCGCTTCGCCAGATGATAGACGGAACTACCCATGTGTTAGATGTCACTACCTGCAATCGATGGAAGCGCTCCTATAGGGGGGGGGGGGGGCAAAAGTAGTGGCAATTTCGGAATAAAAATTTATAATAAATTTGAACTATGTGGAGAAGTAAGAAATGTGGTAATGAGTGGTTTGGCCACAGTCTAAAACTCTTTCTACTATCGCATCAGCCATTGTACCTGTCTCTGTGCTGTAATACATGTGTATAGCACCGTAGAGAAGAATTGCCATTATGTTCGCACCCCCCCCTCCCTTCCTCGTATAAGGGTAACAAACGAGAGATGTTCCAAAAGTTCCTAACGCAAGGCAGGTTCGAAATCACCTCATCACTTCGCTCATCACTTTCAAAGCTTGTGACAGACATCTTGAAAGTGACAGGCAAAGTTAAGTCATTTTTGGTGGTGGCACACAATCTGGGTGGATCGTCCATTGGGCTGCAAATGTGACTTTTGCAAAAGTAACGAAATATTGATTCCATGACTAAATTATTTCACATCCCACGTAGTTTGGAATAAGGGGCAAAGACAGTTGATTCTATGGAAGAAGAGGACCTGTGAATCACATTTTTTCTGATTTTTTATTTCAGTACCGCCACAGGATTGGTAAGAAATATCCATCAGTTTTAAAGGATACCAATACTTCAACCAGTTTAGTCAAGGAATAAAAGTCAAAGGCAACTATCTAGGTTCTGAATAGACCTTAGGACTTATATATGGTCAGCATCAAAAGAGAGGAGTACTACCTATAATTAAGTCCTTAATGAATTCTCCACACACAAGTTTGTGGTAACAATCTCAACCACTGGAATGGATGTCATTGGAACTTCAGATGGAGTCCATAGCAAAATAAAATGGGTGATCAAACACCAAAAAAAGGTTGCATGCCATTGGTATATCATTATTTAAAAAAAGGCCAAGAAGGCATTGAACTGGACACCCTGCAGGCTTGATATGGAAAAAAATAGGCTCTTTCCCCTGAGATGTTGTACTTGCATTACCTTAAGTTCAATAGAAATTTCTAGAAACCATCAACATTTATATTGAAGTTGTGCCTTTTTAAATGTCAAATTGAGTAAAGGGGCTCCTTATACAGAAGTAGGCAAATAATGAAATTAAAAAGTTCCCTTGAGGTGACATTATCAAAATGACTTGTCTGGTGACTTCTTTTTACAAATTAAAATTCTCATGGTCATCCACCTGCCCAATCCTCCTCTGTAGATTCCATGTGCTACATTCTGCAGACATAAACCTATCACATTACAATATTACAAAGCAATACTGTCTTCAATGTACAATGTTTTCTCGAACCTTGGAGATCTAGCTGTAATGTACAAGTGGCTGATTTAAGCATGATCATGCAAGTGTCTAGGATATAGATGAAACCCAACATGTGTTATTTTGAAAGAGGCCTGTTTCTCTCTCACTTCAGCAAGCCTCCATGGCTGTTTTCCATGTTTGGTGGGTGTGAGACTCCTGCAACCAAGAAGAAACATAATACTAGGATTCTAATATGCATCCTAACATATGACTTTCTTCATGTTGCAGATGAAGTAGACCAATCGGGCAAAAGAGGGCCTTCTTGGCCAAGAAAGAATAGAAAGAAAAAAAAAAGAAACAATTCATTCCATGAAAAGAGATCAAAGGTCAGGCTGGTCATCATGTTCAGCTTCAGCTATAGGGGAATTGGGGCATGCATTCAAGAGACATTCTTGCAATACAGGTGTCACCTCCTGACACATTGACATCAGTTCCTTACATGCTTTGGTCACACTTTGTGCACTCACATCCCCATACTGAAAGATGGTGGCTAACTGTTGTACTGATGGCATTAATCCAATGATAACAGAACCGTTCTCTCCAGATGATGCACTCTCCTTTTCTTCATCATGTGTTGGGTCCATGTATATATTGCCACCTATGTACCTCTGGAAAATGAATAAGAAATGCTGATCAAATAACAGATATTCATTGAGTAATGATTTCACCCGCTGATGCAATCTTATTTGTAGAAAAGGGTCAGAAATTGTCATGCTATCAATTTTATTACCAAAGAAAGAGAGAGGCATGCTGGCCAGACAAAACTGATTTTTAAGATGAAGGTAACCCAAGGGGTTGGTAGCAGAACATGTAGAATTTTACAGTCTGAGCTGACTATGACTGACCTGGTCTAAATTGGAAGGTAATCTATGGCTGATTTTACAAATGATGGTCAAAGAAAAAATAGCATAATATAGTCATATTAACCCAGATAACATCATCTTACATTGTCTAGCATACTTTCACATAAGCAATAAAGGAGATGGAAGAAACTCACCAGACCCATTCCCACAATGAGATCATATGTCTGAATTGCAGCATCACATAAAGCCAAGCCAGCACAAGTGATGAGTGTTGCTAGGCAGGACCCATCATCCTCCAACACGTGAACATACACATCAATCTGGGATTTTGGATACAAATGCTGTTGGGGAGAAAGACATGATATGTTGGTTAAAACAATTATGGAGACACCTGCTTTTAATAAAATATAAACTAAATTTATTTTAAACTAATCAATTTACTCTTTTCATTAGGCATTCACAATAAAAAAATCAATGGCAATAGAATTCTTGATCAAAGAAAAAGCCTTGAAAGAGAAAAAAAAAAAGAACCATAAGTAGTTCATGCACAAATGGAAAGGCATAACTTTTCTTTAGTTCATATGGGATGTGACCACCTCTAGCAGTAATGGAAGCTGCAAGTTGGTCATGCATGATCAGAGCATATCAAACTGTGTCTGAGGTGCTGCTATCCATTCTTCCATGAGAATGGCTTTTTGTGGGTCACTGGTTGAGTTCATGGGCTGCAAAAAATCTGAGGATATCCCAGGCATTTTTAATAGGGTTTGAATTAGGTGAATGGCAAGTCCATTCTTGAGACGTAGAGACCCATGATAGCTAGCGATGCTTTCATACACCAGACAAGCATTGTGTGGTTATCCAACAAGAAGACCTGCTTCTACTGCACCTGCAAATGGGGCAATTTCCTACAGCATATGGATCTCCTGATATTAGTTGGCACTCATTGTGCCCTCCTGAAGCATACACAGATCTGTGATGCGATCCTGGATCATAACTCCATCACTTCTCAAGGATTCTTACCTGACAGTGTATTATCAAAAATACTTCTGCCCTGGTAGTCTCTTTGCAAACATGATGGGAATTGTGTAGTGGACAAAATCTGGACTTTTCAGTGAAGAGCATCCAAGATGAGCAGCCTACTGTCATAGTTAAGTTACCATTCTCACTAGCTCCCATGGTGAGATGCAGCAAGCTGGACATCAACCACTGATCTTTGGGCAAGCAAACCAAATTAATGCAGCCAGTTCCTCAAAGCATGAACACCTACTATCATCCTTGCAGCCCCACCACAAAAGTTTCCAAACTAGTTTGGATGCTGCTATTTACTCTCTCCACCACGCTGATATGACCATGCGCCTGTCTTCTATTGGCCTTGGGCTTCTAAGATGACCTTGTTCACATTTTTTATCCATAGGCCATCTCAAGGAGAAGAATCCATAGCCAGATGATCAAAGGAGTGATACTCCTAAACATCTACTTGCCACTGGCTATCACCACCCTGGATGCAGCCCTATGCTAGCATAATTGAATCACATTCCAAATGGGTTCTTTTGAACCCATTTGGAATGTGATTCAATTATGACCATGTGAAGTGAACGAACCCATAAGATAGTGCTCCCTGAATAAAGCCTGAGAGCTCTACAAGCTCTCAGGCATTATTCTTGTTTAGTCAGTCTGCTTTTGTGGCAATTGTAAGTTTGATTTTTTTTTGCCTTTTGAGTATCATGTGGATAGTAACTGAATACTCCTGCATTGGTGCAATTTGGAAGATACGAGGGATTTCTCAAAAGTTCTGCCAGTAGCCCACAAGTCGTCATTGGAGGCGGCCGCAAAGTGCTACTTTAGGGCTACTGGCAGAACTTTTGAAAATCCCTCGTACTATAGGGTTTCAAAATAATAAAGTATTTGCTAAATCACTTTAACCTGCTTATTTTTGGAAGGGAGCAAATTCCCTGCAGAATCTATGAGGAGTGGAAGAACAGATGAAACTCACCAAGCAAACAACTGGTTCAAGTGAATGCCTGAGTACAGCAGAGAGCTCCTGTTCCCTAGCTTCCTTGTTTCCTTCAGCCCGCATTTGAGTAGCAAAATTGGCTATCTTTACTTCACAATAGAGTATGCCCTTCATTCTGAAGTCCTGCCTGCGAAGAATCTCCCTGGGCCCATAGATGGCTGTGATGACTTTAGTATTTCCAGCTTCCACATATGCTGATCCTTTGGCCTTGCCATTCACACCAACTTTCAGAACTGGAACGAATTTGAATTTGTTAGGTTTTTTTTATTTATTACAGGCCTTAAATAGATAGTAGCCTAAGTACATCTGTTTTATTTTTGCCAATCATAAAAAAAACAATTGTTTGGCACAAAGTTAGCAAGGATAATGTATGTATGCACAATTTTGGCTACATTATATTCTCAACATATTCTTTCTGCAATTTAAATTGAACTTCTGATGATTCAAATTTGAAAATTTCTGAAAATTGTACCAAGTGATTTGGAATGACCCGTAAATCATACATTTGATAACAAAGAAACACCATTAGTGTATCAATTGCAGGCCCTCAAAAAGTCCAATTGGATGGTGCAAAGATCAGCTCACTATCTTGTTTCCCAGATGGGGAAAAAGGAATGGTGTCACCCTCTTCCACTTCTTTGTATATGATGAATTTTTATTACTCTTGTATGAGAAATGTGAGGAGTCAAAAACTTCTGAACTCCTTAACCCTTTGACAAGTATGCCCATATATATACGGGCTGACATCCTCCTGCCCTCCATGTATTCACTATGGGTGATCAAGGCATTAACCCCTTAAATGGACTCGCCGCATATGTGCGGTCTGGCACCTGCCATCTCTCAATGGACTCACTGCACATATGCGCTCCCAAGTTCCCAGTTAAGGGGTTAAAAAACCCACTCCTCAAGGGGTTAAAGGTCATTTCACACTTTGCATGTCATGTGTCCTCTGTGTCAATGTCTGGGCAAGCAGGCAGACACATGTGGTCACTAAAATTCAAGTGTTTTCACAAAACGCAAGGATTGCATTTTCAATTGAGCTTATCCTAATTCCAAGTTCAAACTTTGCATTTTGTGAAAACCCTTTCATAAATTTTTAATTTTTATTTTTAGTTTAATATTGGAGTAAAAAATCAATCATTTCTATGCTGGTAATATCAAATTGCAAAATTTAACACATTTAGAAAAAGTGAAAATTAATGTTTTACAAATTTTATATTTGAAAAATTGACACACCAGGAAGGTAGTGTAGAAGGCAGGAGGTGCTCTTCTGTGCAAGGAAGACTTAAACTCCACAAGAGCTCGAAAATTCAATTTCATTGCTTTTGATTAAAAGTTTAAAAACATTTTGCAGTCAAAGTTTGCACTGTATTGTGTAACCTCATCCCTAATGAAGGACTATGAAAATCGGGAAATTGGAAAACAAAATTTCAAGATATACATTTACTGAAAAGTTTTAAATTGGGAGCCATCAGGACCCCCTCAGCAACAGAAGGGTTAAACATCAGTACTTAAGCCTCAATCAATTGCTTGACTCTTCATCGTAAGACAGCAGCTATCAGGTTAGGACAAATATCATTGTGTATCCCACCATTCCAGTCAACAGGAAAGTACCTTTAGATGTACATAGAATCAGATTTGAACTGGACTAGCTATATGAAGTCTATATTTAGTATCTTAAGCTTGAGATAGTTTACTTGAATAAACATTCTACCCTGTCCCCATTCCTGATATGCCCCAGGCCAACACTCACCACCTTCAGAAAATATATATGATATGGTAAACACCCCAGTTTTTGGCCACTTAAGTCCCAGTTTTTGGTCCCACTGATAAGACTTCCATAGGAAGTGGACACCCTGTGTGCACACTGGGAAACACAATTAATAGGTACTCGTATGAGATGTTGATAGAATGCTTAAAAACGGCCAATTAACTTGTGATTAACGATTAATTATGCTGGATTTAAGTCTCACTGGCGACTGGAGACTGACCGGAAACTGGGGAGCTTACCCTACTCTTCTTTTGGAAAAGCATTCAATATATGGGCCTGACCATCTGAAGAGCAATGTCCCAAACAGAATCTTTTTTGCTAATTCTAGACCTTCACCTCTCTTGGCCATATGCTGCACACTGTCCTCATCTCTAAGCAAGCAAGCTGTCAGGAAATATACTTCCAACTGAAATAAATGGTGATTTTCATTCTCACGAAACATGTCCCAGGCCAAACACCCTTTGGAATTGGCTACCATGTCTCAAAACTAAGAAGCATGCATTGCCCTGGGGAATGACATACTGTACAGCAATACCCTTTGCTGTAATGACCTCCTTCACCTCTACTCTGAAAGACTGTCTTCTTTCTCTTTGCATGTCCTTTTTTTTTTTTTTAGGAATTTATGACATCAATTGGTCAAAATGATATCTCAAGAATAGGCACTACATGACTTCAGTAGACCAAGGTCTATTACTGATCTTCAAAACACACTCATTTTAAATAATATTTTCTTAAATGAACTCTCCAAATGATGTAGTAGTGTTTTCCAATCGTATCAACCTTTTTTTTTTCACTCTTTTTCGGCATTCATGCACGAGTGTCCAAGTCAAGCGAAAAATTATCTGATTCAAGTGAAAAACACCCTAAATGAAATGATGGATATGAGGGTATGGAGCGATGTGGTTAACTTGCTTCTATCGATGAACTACGTCTCAATAAATTCAATCCATAGCCATAACGAGACAAAGGAATCACGATAACTCACAAAGGCGGCGAATCTCTTCCGGGCGTCTCTTGTCTTTGCGAGGTTCTTTCATTTCGGCACAGAATTAAGCAAGAGAGGCTTCCTTGTAGGCCTAGATGTCCTGGGGAAAACGACGACCTGGATTTCCAGCTCCTTATGAATGAATGGGCGATCACGCACGCGCCTGTAACTGCCGGCTCTCGCGGATGCCTTTCTTTTTGGTTAATTCTCAGCTATGGTTCCCAACCTGATCTTAATTTTGTACCGAGAGTATTGCTGGAGTTACTTTCATTGGGCGCCCCAAGTGCCACGTGCGCGTAGCCATCATGGCGGCAAGTTTTAGTGGCATTTGGCATCACATCTTGCCCGGATTGCATAATTTTTGGGGGAAAGCCTTGATCAACTCTGTTCGCCGGCCTTGGCCTATCGTATTTTAATTTATTTGATTATATGTATGATTTTGTAAGCCTGCCTAGCTTTCTACAATTTGATGTTCGCAATATGCCCTTGGCAATATGCCTAGTAGTAGGTTTATTGGCTTTATGGCTATTGTCTACTCAACGTTAACTTAGATCGTTTATCATGCCCTTGCACATCGAATATGAGGATCACAAACAAATTATTACCATTAAGTTTCCGAAGGCAAAATAATTAAGTATATATGGAACGGAACTGAGTAAGTTGTTACATACATTGATACTTATGCATCTTACACTCAATGAACAGTTGGGGTCAGTGGCGTGCCCAAGGGGGGGGGGGGGTTTGGGGGTCATAACCCCTCCCCCTTGGGGTCAATTTTATACATTCGATTCTCACAAATTTTTTATTTTGCCACAAATACAGGGTGGGTTATCAGTTTTTTTTAAATGTTAACCCCCCCTCATTAGGGTGGGTAATCAGTGTTTCATATGGCGACCCCCCCCCCCCCCCCCATTCGGATTTCTGGGCACGCCACTGGTTGGGGTAATTCCAGAAGTGTATCAAGTTCCACATTTGTCATAGCCAATTAAGTATGAGAACTTCTTCTGCACTGCTGGTGGGAGAATGATGCAAGCACATGCCAGTGTTGCAAATCATGAAACTCAGAGATTACTTGATTAGCATGTATAAGACTTTTCTCATTCCCCACTGGCATTGGCCCAAATTTGTTGGGTCTTCAATATATAGAGATATTATATGTGTAGAGGTAGGCCTAGCCTAGCCTAAGCTATTGTCACAGTTGACTGAGTATTATTTTTATGGAATCTAGTTTGTGACCTAAATATAGGGGTATCTTCCAGAGTGTTGAACTGGCTCTGTTTGTTGGTTATTCACGCACCCCTTCATGCCTCCTAAGAAAATTTGCCTTTTGGCCTAATTTTTGGAGGAATCCAGTTTTGTCCATTGGTAAAGGTAATAAGTCAGTCAGCTTTCAGTCTGTGAAAGGCAAAGACTACAAGGATTTGTATTCCGTATTCTTCAATTCCAACCGAGCCATCATGTCCACATCAAAAGCTCAGGTTCAGTCTGAGATCCAGGAAAAGACTGAACATCTAAAGAAGCTAAAGGCAAGTCCAGAGACAACAAAGGAAGAGGTTTGTTGAATTTCTTAATTCTCTTTATTTCTTGCTTTTTTAAGTATGACATTCTATTCAAGCAAACTTATGAGAGATATATTTAATGATATGCCTGCAGATAGATGAAGTTACGGCCAGGCTGGCAGAGTTAAGGGCCCAAGCAGGAGGGAAGAGCTCAGGGAAATTGATTCTGAAGACAGCAAAGGGGACCAAAGATTATGGACCCCAACAAATGGCACTCAGGGAAAAAGTACTTTCCATCATAATGGACTGCTTTAAACAACACGGAGCAGAAACCATTGACACCCCTGTCTTTGAACTCAAGGTTTGTGTATATCCCTTCCCAAAATGATATCAAGAGGCATGAAAGAAAACCTATTCTTGACCACTTTGTAACTATCACTGTGGAAATGCTAGGATCAGGATTTTTTAACACTTGAGAAAGTTCTCCAAGTTTGTTTGTTTTTTTTTCCTGAAAGTATGAAGTCTCAGTATGGTATGATGAAAAAGCTGCACTCTTGCATGGTTCAGCAAGAAATCCCACTATTTCATGCATTCCACTTCCGCTGTAGTAGTTTCAGTAGCACTCATTTGATGCCACTAGGTCTGTTTTTGTGGCTGCTTCCTAGATGTACTGTTTTTGACTGGGCAGTGTCATTATTCTACAGCTGAAAAGGAACCCTTAATTGTGATGAGGGTATGTTTTACATAGTTTGGCTAGGAAAGAGATCATTGCAGAGTTTTCAAAAGACGCCCTGGAGTGTTTGTCTCTGAGAAGTTTGCCATTTGCACTGCAGGTTTTCTTTTTCAGCATCAGTATCAGAGCACTGCCTTGTCAGGGACACTACTCCACCAAGGTTGCACCTATATCTAAAAAGTTGAGTACAAATGAGAGACATCTATGGAGTCTTGAGGGTACTGCAGGAGGACAATGCAAAAGAGAGCCACTTTTTTTTTGCCAGTCTTTTAATTTTTATTCTGACTGACTTGAAACTTTAGAAAGTATAGTGTTATAAAGCATAAGACAATATAATTTTATTTTTGCATTTGTCTTTGCTACATATATTCTAGGTTTATTTGACTTTGCTCAACAAATTGCAGGAGGTGCTGACAGGGAAATATGGAGATGATTCCAAACTAATATATGATCTGGCAGACCAAGGTGGGGAAATCCTGTCTCTGCGATATGATCTGACAGTTCCATTTTCTCGTTACTTGGCTATGAACAAGATCTCCAACATCAAACGGTACCACATTGCCAAGGTATATCGACGAGACAATCCAGCCATGACACGAGGCCGGTATAGAGAATTTTATCAGTGTGTGAGTTATCCTTGTCGATATCTCTTGCTTTTCTATTCCTGCAAGACTTTTCTATATATTTTTTGCTTCACGGTTATTTCCATAGGATTTTGACATTGCTGGGCAGTATGAAGAGATGCTACCTGATGTTGAATGTGTGAAGTTGATTGATGAAATCCTCACTGCATTGAAATTAGGAGATTTTGTAATCAAGGTCAACCACCGCCTCATCCTGGATGGAATCTTTGCTGTTTGTGGCGTTCCAGCTGAGAAGTTCAGAACAATCTGTTCATCTGTGGACAAGCTGGACAAGGTTGGAACTTGGAGCCCACCAATAATTTTAAAAGTTTTAGGGATTCCAGCTTCACTCTTTGCTAAATGTGATTATTCATAGTTGTCATGGAATCCTTCATATGGTAGGTTTTTTTTAGAATTTTTCATCCATATCTTTATTATAGTTTTGGTTACCTTTGATTTCATCTTGCACCAATTTGACCCCTTCAGTCGCTAGTTTCTAAATTATTGTCCTGAATAATTTTTGGGCTTTGCACTACTGGAATGGCCCATATAAGAAGTTTGGATAAGAATAAAAGTTTGTAAAGCACTTCATTGAGGAAAGGAAGGAGTTGGCAAACCTTCAAGGTTTCAAGAAATTGCAGTAATCTGTTCATGCAGAATGCCATAAAATTTATTCATAATCAGTAACAGAACCACCCCCAGCAGATTCAATGTTGATTCAATGTTTCTTGCTACTTGGAATGTGGTGGTGATGCCAAGTAGGCTAAATTTAGCCTGTTTTGTAAAGGTAGAAAATATCATGTGTTAATTTATACCAATATAACATACCCTAGAATCTGTACAAATCTCACAAAATAGCTTATCTGTCATAAAAGGGTTTCTTTCCAATTTGGACTTCATGCTCTAAACAGGGGTAGCGCTAGGTTTCTTGCCCTGGGACCCTCAGGTCTGATACGGAAGGGTCCCTTGATAATTAAGGGGGTTACTTTCCAAGTGAAACACAAGGGAATCTTGAAGGATTCCCCAGAAGGAAAAGTCCAGCAATCCATGTGTATTTGCTGACTTTGCATAACCAAGCAGTATGATATTCAATTCAACATCTTGGGCCTTCTGCATGTATGTCCTGGGGGTCCCAGGACCTCTGGGATGTATGAGCAAGAGGTCAGGGCAAGAATCCTAGCACAACCCCTGTCTACAGACAGGTAAAGAAATCATTAACCAAAACTAAATGTTCTACCCTTTCCTTTCAGAATATATGACAGCACTTATTTGTTTCTTCTCACTTCTCATCACAAAGATGTATGTCTTTTGGAAGAGTATATTTTTATGCAATTATGCATGTTTTCCTATGAATCATTGAGAACATTGGTGGTGGTGGTTTCTTCAAAATACCAGTAAATAGTATTCTGATGCTGTAGGCTTGTTTGAACCTGAAGGATCATGACTATTAATGTTCAATGTTATTCATCAATTACCCAACAACGAAGCTTCTCGAAACCGGGGAGTGCTATTGATTTATTCCAGATAATTTTGGACAAGTCTCTGGATCTTATATAATCCCATGTTGAACTTTCCTCAGCATTCGTCACTTTATAACTGCCTAGGTATTATTTGTTATATTATTTCTATGCAAAACATTTTAGTATTTGGTATGTCTTTAGTGCTAACTATTCTGTTAATATTTCCCTCCCAAAGGGTATAGAAGTATCTTGCTAACCATATCTCCTTGATGGAATAGCATTATCCCCAGCATCCAATATGTGCCTGCATTCCTACTGTCACATACAGAATATTAACCTTTCTTTTTGGCCACATCAAGCAAGAAGATGGATGTTCATCAGTGGATGGTCTGATTGACCTTGACCTTATTTTGGAAGTATAAAATGGGCAGAAGGGTGGATGTATGCAAGGTACCTTTCTGATGCTATGACTTACCTATGACTTTACTCCATCCTAAATTGGAGATCTTTAACATCTCAAAATATAGGGAGGGCCAAAAAAAAGTAATTTTTGGCGAGTTGTCAATCTGATTGTAGCTTGCCTATTCTGATGACATTTGGTAAACATATAGGGTGACTCAGGATTTATGTGCCCAAGTTTAAAATCAAAATTCTGAAAGCTATAAGAATGGCATTTAATTTACATTAGACCACAAAAAAAAATAAAGTGTTCATTTTTTAAATTTAATCCTAAATTTTAGCCATCAGGTTCATCAACTTTTCAGATGACCACTCCTTGCACCATATCCTTTTTCAAGTTGCAAGTTTTTAACAAGAGCAAGATCTTTGCCACTTTTGTTAGGCATTTTTGACGATGCACTTTCACCTTAAACACAAGGAAATAAAAGTTTTATTTTTATAGAAAACCCGAAATCCTGCTTATTGATTTGCATGCTAGCCTTGGCTTTTTAACTTGTATTTATTGTAAGTTGGTTGGCCTTGGCCTAGCCTAGCTTATAAAATAGCTTAGCTTATTGCTGTGGGTGATCATGTATTCCATGAATACAGACCTCAAGTTTTTCATATTGATATTTTCACAGCACATTTTGTCATGGGTCATCAGAAAATAATTATGTATATAGCCAGAAGGCTGAAATTTGCCACACAAACCCCAATTGTGTCACTCTCTATGTGTACCTAAGTTCATTGGAATTTGCAGCCTACAATCAAATTGACCAAATTGGTTTTTTTTGGCCCACCCTGTAGTTCTAGAAGTATCATGACAACAGGGAAGTAGATGTTACTTTGAGCATTGGTCTCACTGCAATCCTGGAAATTTTGCAGTAAGTGATCATTCCAAGACATTTGAGACAATGAAGATAAATTGTGGAAACTGTTAACAAAATAATACCTTGGCTCAAACTGCTAGAACATGACTGCCCATACAAGAATCCATGAACAAATGCATGAAAGCTTAGTTATAATGAAGAGGCAGGGAATCTTGCAAGTCACTTCATTTTGAACTGGATTTTTTAACATTTCTAAATCAGCCAGGAATTGTCATTTCACTCTAAAGAATTGTGTACTGCTTGGGCTTTCCTGTAATTTTATTCCAATGACTGGTAGATTCAATTCATGAAAAAATGAAGTGTTACCAACTAGAGGGGTTAAATCAGGAATTCGTCTACAGGCTTCCTGGGAGGATGTGAAGGCCGAGATGGTGAATGAGAAAGGACTGGCAAATGAAACTGCAGATCGCATTGGAGAATATGTGAAGCAGTCTGGAGGGGAGGCACTGTTGAAGACACTCCTGTCTGATATGATTCTGATGGGGAATCCTTGGGCCAAGAAGGGACTTGAGCTAATGAGGCTGTTCTTCTCTTACTGTGAACTTTTTGATATCACTCCTCATGTGTCCTTCGACCTCAGCCTTGCTCGGGGACTTGACTACTACACTGGAATCATTTTTGAAGCCATTCTCTTAGGTATTGAAGCCCCCATTTTTATTTTTTGCCAGGTTTGAGTATGATCAGTCTCTGAAGTTTGAAATGCAAAGGTGATGCAGGCATGAATATCTGAAGTTCCATACACTGTGGAAATGCTGCAAGTTTTTGTGTGATTTGGTCATGGCTATTTCTTGAGTCCTTACTTGATTTACAAAATTGATGTTAACATTTGGGGAGTCCCAATTGGTGATGCCTGCCATCCCCTTCCTGTTCTTCAAAGATCTTATGATTCAGGGGGTGTGGCACAAACCACATTAGGAAACCTTCTTAAGCTTTTCTTTATGCTTACTGTACTAATTTGAGGAAGTGTCACATGGGGATCAAAACTTACCTAGTTAGACTTTTCTTTGGCTCATTAGCCAGGTGTGTATTCAGGGATAATTAGGCAATGGCAATGAAAAGAATAAGCATATAGAGATACTCAAGCATATTACCAAATGACCTTTCTTAGATATTGTGGCATGTTGACCACAGGCCAAGAACTGTTTTGCTATTTACAATTCCTTTTCTTCATAGTCAGTAAAAGCCCATGGGCAAAATGGAAATACAGGGGGCATGTAAAACTGGTTCTTACCTGGAAGAAAGAGGAAAGGAAGAAAGAAGAAATATGCATTGATGGATGTCAATTGGTGTCTATATTTCAATAATAATAATACAAAATAGGGAAAGCCAGTTCAGTTCATATTTCATTTAAAAAAAGTGCAAGTATTTCTTAGAAAATACTATAGAAGTCCCATTAGAATGCAGTTGGGCAAGCCATGCCAAATATCTGTTCAAAACTTTTATTTAATGCTCTAATCTATGATTAGTATGGCAGGTGGAATGACTGGTAACTGTTTGAAATGAATAGGCAAACAGTGCTTAATAAGGACTTTCACATCCTCCATCAGGTTATTCAAGTCAACCAATAGTGAATGGGAGTGGCGAGGAAGCAGGGGGAGTGGGAAGTGTGGCAGGAGGTGGTCGTTATGACAACCTGGTGGGCATGTTTGATGCCAAGGGTAAGAGTGTACCATGTGTAGGTGTCAGCTTTGGGGTGGAGCGCATTTTTTCCATCATGGAAGGGAAACTCACATCTGAGAACTGCTCCATACGGACCACTGAGACCCAGGTTTGACCAATTTGACTCTCCCCCTTCAATTATAAATGTAGACCTTGCAAGTCCTACTCACATATCAACCAAAATGGCAAAGGCATGTGAAGAAAGTATCTTGCTCCAGGGCAGCATAAATACTCTCATAGTTAACCCTTTGCACTCCTTGGGACATAGTAAAGGTGATAAATGTCATATGGGTTGTGGCAGGGGAGTGCAAAGAGTTAACCTACAAAGGAAAATGTAAGAAGTCAACCCATTTCAACAAAGGGTCTTTGAGGAGTATGACACAAATTACAAATTCAAAGTTTTTATGAAGTTTCAATTTCAAGTTTTGTGTAAATTACCCTTTTAGGGGTTGACTGCATTTTTTGCTTTTCATGCTCTGCAATAGACTATTATCTACCATATTATCATCAAAAACTTTCATGATACATATCATTACAGTACCTCAATACATTTTTTATTCAAAACATCCTCAGAGCATGAAAACTCATTCCTCACAGAGTTAAAGATGAAATTATATATCAATGAAAGATGATGACAAGATTCTGAGTGTAATTCCATGTTACCTGAAGGTCTGTTAAGATTTTGCTTAGCATTTACACAGTGAAGGATGAGGGGACTTATGCATGGTTCTCTTTCCATGTACTGTGTATTGAATGGCATTGAATTGTAGGAATAGGAGTGAAGAAGAGCAAGGTCAGCATCATTTCATCATAGGAAACAGAATGCAAGGTTTGGAAAGTCTGAGAGATCACCTTAATACCGCAACAGATTTTGACACCCCCACTTTATCCTCACTTTAAACTATCCTAGAAATTCCAGGATCTTATTTATAATAAAAGGCTGGAAGAAGTTTCACTAACACTGTGGCCTTATCCAAAATGCTCTTTTGCCTTTTCCTGTAATGTCAGTGCAATTCAACTGTCCCTATCTTACATGTGCCCAACCAGGTGCATTGCAAGGAATACTCTATATGTTGTATTTTCAGATCTGCTTGTTTTTACCTTTGTTTTGTGAGTTTGTTATCAAATTTGGCTCAGACTGAGTAATAGCATGTTATGTAAGCGAAGGTATTCATTTGTTTCACCATTTACTTGTAGGTTTATGTGGCATCAGCACAAAAGGGTTTACTCCAAGAGAGGATGAAACTCACCAGTTTCCTCTGGAAAAATGGCATCAAGGTTCGTATTGCTTTGGACTTCTGCTTCCTAGGATGTAGCTGCAAACTGTAGACATTGTTTTATTTCAAAATTAGCTCATTGTGGGAACAATGCGCCAGTTGAGGTTCTGATACACTTTTCGTATATGAATGGGTTTCTTTGCAGACAGAGCAACCATATAGGAGCAACCCAAAACTGTTAGCCCAGTTGCAGTATTGTGAAGACAGAAAGATCCCATTGGCAATTGTTCTTGGCCAGTCGGAAATGGAGCAAGGTGTGGTGAAGCTGAGAGATGTCCAGAGCCGAGAAGAGGAGGATGTTCCTCGAGATCATTTGCTTGGGGCCATTCGGAGCAGGCTCCACATACCATCCTCATGATATGATAGAAAAGAATACATTATTCTCTTCTACCATCCTCACTGTCCTTTCTGGACTTTTTTCTCCATGCTGTCTTTCCTGTCTTCAGAGGCCTATCTTTAAAGAGAAGGAAAGTGGTTAATGGTTTGTTTTTTAAATCTAAGCGTGATCAGAATCTGGTTCATGTCTCATGCATTCTGATACTGATGTAAGACATGAAGTCTGCATTGTTCTGGTTGGTTGGCTGGTTTTGAGTCTGAATCAAGAATTCCAAATGTTCCAAAGATGCAAGAATTTTACAATTGGGAAGTAATCAGCTTTCAGTTGCTTTGAGGCAGTTTGTTGTTGGAGTGCATTGCAGTTGCAATTGATGCAATTCACATCAGTTTTGACACATGTTTCAATATTCTCTCTATGGTACCATGACTTATCATTTGTCAGGTCCTGTAGCTTGCAGACATTGCCTTGAAATCATAGCTTGTGTACCAAAGAGCCTGATTCAAGTATTCCATTTATTCAGTACAAGTTATCCCAATCAACAGTGCAGCCTGAAATGTAATGATATTGGGTTTTTTTCCCTCATATGTTGAACAAGAAGGTTGAACTGACTCTTAGATAAAATGTTCTATTAATTTCAGGTTGCTATTTCTTATCCTTTTATACCTTATTTTAAACCCAGTGCTGATTCATTTCATGGTTTGCAAAAAATTAAGAAAGTTTTTCTTGATCTTGGATCAATGAATGCATAATCATTCAAACTGATTTGAACTTGCCACCTTTATGCACCTACCAGAAGACTTGGTTGCTCCTGGAGGACTAGGACCCAATACTTCTCTACTTTGAGTTGTTCCTGAAAGAACCCATGATAGGATTTTTGCGGATATCAACCTTTCTCTTCTTGTAAGTGGGATACTCAGTTCAGTAAGCCCATTTTCAGATGGTACCCACTTTCTTCCATTTATGCCAGCTGTACTCCCATATTCCTCAAGGCAGCCTTACACTGCTCACAGGTTCATTTTGTAGGGAGCCCCCTAGTGATCCTGAGATTGAGCTTGATGCTCCCTTGAGTTATATTTTTCTCCCCTGAAAACCCTTTGATGGAGTTAGGCACCCCTACTCCAAGAATTTTTTTAAATATAAATTTAATCTACCAATTAATGAACTCCTTAACAGACATTTTTCTGTTAGCAGAAATATTGAATTTACCGCCATAGTATAATGTGCTTTTTGCCTAATTTTTTTTAGCCACCAATATTGTTTGATCATTACTGGTTTTCAAATCATCAATCCGTGTAACCTTACACCACTGAGACATAATCAAATCGGAGTTTTTCAGCATTTTCAACACTATCAAAGAATATTCAACCGTTTCTACTCTTGTGGATTGACCTGTGACTTTGAGATTAGGTTGCAAGATGTTATGCATATGCTCTGAGTATTTGTCGTTGCAACTGAACTAAGTAAGGTATGCCTCTGCTCAGAAAACGTTTCCTGTTCTAATGTTTTTTTTTTAATACTCTGATCTGTCTATGTAGCAGAAAATCATACTCCGTTTTTAACAGGTCATTTTTAATCCAAGAAAAACAAGTATTGAAGTGGGCTGTGTTTTTGAGCAAAGTGGAACAGAACCTGTTAAGCTGCATATGGGTTGAGCAACTATACCTCGCTGATTGATCTCTTCCAGATATGACACCTCCGAGGAATTCAAGTGGAGTGGTTCGCAAGGCAAAGTAAACAGGAGACTAAACAGACATACTTGGTGTCATCTGAGGAATACCAATGCAGGAAGGAAGCTTGATGCATGTGATTTTAGACTTTACATCAATTATCCTGGAGGAAATGAGTGTGGTAGTTGGGTTGCACATGATGTGTGTTGTCTCTTGTATGCATATTGATGCCTACAAGAGAGAGAGACATCACACATCGCTGCAGGTGCGATGTCGCTTTAGTGTCTCACATTGCAGAGTCATGTCTTAAGTCAATGGCCTCAGCAACATGCTATTCTCAAGGAAATCGAAAAACCCTCGTTGAAGGAGTAAGGGACAATCGTATTTCATCAGAGAGTCTCCTAAAAATTCGTTGAGCTTCCTAAGCGTAACAACTTCCCAATCTACTAAACGTAATTGGACAGTCGCATTTAGAAATCCCAATTTTGATGTGAAAACCTGAATACCTATATCGCATTTCTTAATATGACTTGATAATAGAAAGAGGCTATTATGGATTTAACCAATGTTCGGTTGAAATGACAGGTTATAGGTGATGTAAATTAACCATGGCACACGTTGTGGCACGATGACAACTTACCGAAAAAGTGTGCGAGTTCTCCTTTCAATGACATGAAAGGGAGAAGATGAAGTTCTGAATACGGTGTAAAGGCTCACGGAATTTTCATTCATTATCCAGTTATTTTGGTGCAGTTCGCTAGGTTCTCGATGGTTCATGCGCTTGCGTCGCGAGGTTGCAGGAGCACATCCTGGCTTCTGTGGAGGCGTGACGTGACGAACCTTTCTTCGGAAAGCTTGACGCGTTCGGCTCAGATAATTCATGCTGACTATCGTCACCCAAGGTAATCAAGACTGCGATTGTCACTGTATTTCTGGGGTTTTCTGTCGATTTATGTTGGCTGCTGGGACTTAACAATTCGATCTTTCCGAGTTTGTCGAACTAGGTTGTGCTACGTCCGGGCTTGTCGGTCGATTCGTCACCGGTCGTGGCGTAGGGGCATTACGCACAAGGTCTTACTCGGAGTGGAACCGAGTTCGAAACACTCGAGGCCTTGAGACATTGGTACTTGGAACGTTTTTATACTCGGCTGCAAAAGGTTAAGAAGGGACATCTAGATGCAGTCATCTGTTCCATCGCCACGTGCTTTTTGGGGAGTGCAAGATGACCGGGAGGAGATTGAAAACAGTTGAAGAGGTTTTCGCATTATCGTAGAAATAACAGTGAGGTAAACTGAATTTGGCTGTGGGAATTATGAATGGAAGCCTAAAGAATGATCGAAGCCCATTGCAGACAAATTTTCATGTTCCTAACTTACACAATAATATCGCAAGTGACTAACAGAACCATAGATCTCGTTTCTCCGTTGCCAAGCAAATTTTACCATGTCATGGTAAATAGTAATAAAAGTGACTTACCTTTCATTAACTTTTTCTCTTCTCTTAGCTGTCGGTCTACTTGCTGCCTTATAATCGAGAGCGTGGAAGACCTCTGGAAAGAGGGAGGAGGAATGAGACTAGATTCCACTCAATTTTCCCGCCCTTCCTTAGCCACTAGATGTTTACAGGGTGTCCCATTTAACGCGGAAGATTTTAATCGCAAATAAAAATGTTCCTATTTGAGCAACCTAAACATATTTTCGCAACATTTAGACAACTATTTAGCATATATTGTGACAAAGTTTCAGCCAGATCACATGCACTAATTACGAGTTATGAACTTCGTAAGGATGAAATTTAAAATCCTGCAGAATTCGGTAAATGGTGGTACGACTCATTTGCAATACAAGTGCAGCCCATCGCGTGGATGAAGGTGGATCGCCTTCAAAATGTTCTTGGACTTGCGCAATGTTCTCTTCTGTCATGCTTGTCCGTCTTCGTTTCCTCTTAATGTCCTGCACAGTGCCAGTTTCCATCAAGGCTTTATGCTAACGGCCAATGGTCGAACTGCTTCATCGTTTCATTTTCCATGAAGGTATTTTGGGGTACAGTGTCCGGCAGTCAATACCGTAATAAGGTGTCGATAAAATAAAAGGGGGGAAGGGGAAAACAAAGAAATTCAGAGATTGATTGCGTCGTGGGGTTCTTGAAAGAGTGAAGAGTTGAGCGGTTCATGTTTAAATCTGCCTGCGCCTTTCATTCTCGCAGAGGATGTGTTGCACATTAGGTATTGTGCTCTATCGGTACCGCTTCGTTCTCGCTTTTGATACTCCGCTGCACGTTATCGATAATGCAAAGCATTCCAGTTGCTTTTGGCGTTTTAGTCTGTGTCTCCCGGTGTGTGCAGGCGCGTGTCTGCCCTTGGGCGGTGCGGTTAACCCTCTCCAACTGATCTGATAGGGTCTTTGTGTCATTCGGACTCCATGTACCATTGGTGTACTCTGCACGAGGGCGAAAGAAGCAGCTGTGTGCGTTCTGAAGGTGTGCTTTGAAGCACCTGCTGATTTTAGCAGTTTTTTGGCGCCCAGAAGGCTTTCTTTAGTGAGAGCGTCATCTTGTTCACCAGCTAGTCCCAACGAGGAAATCCTCCAGTCTCAATCTTCACCTGGAGTAGCCTTCCAAATCACTTTAACGCTGGACTAGATGCACAAATATGCGAAGTAGAGGTGCCCTATGAGAAGAGGCGCCTAGGTACGAAGAGAAACCATACCTGTACGCCAAAAAAATTTTTTACCGTCAGCTCGCTTCAACTGCGAAGATTGTATTTAATGTTTCATACAAAATTTTCTTTTGAGATGTACTTCTGAATGTCATAATGCAATTGGAACGCGTCAAATTATTTCCTTTGGGAAAATGAAGTGTCAGATATTCTGCAGCAAGAGTAAAATCACACGTTAACTTGTTAGAGCTTTCTTCAAGTAAAACCTAAGAACTCTTTTTTCGGCCGAGAAAATTGGAGCAACCAATCCAGAAACGAATCAAATCGGTCATCAGAATCAACGCGAACATTTTCGGAGGTAAATTCTGCTACGTTTTCTGTAAAGGTCAATCCGCGCAGGGAGATGCAAGGGGGGAAAAGCAAGCTTAGATTGTAAAATGGGCCAAAGGGTGAATGAGTTGACAGGCGCGATCCTGCTTCATATTCTCACCCATTTTCCTTTCCAGTTGGTTGAAGGATGCCTTCTCAAGGGTCATGTGGTCCCCACGTGTTCATTATCCGCTTAAAGGATTTGACCTTCATTCATAGGTCACTGTGGATGAGACCATGACCATGTAAATGTGCATTTATATATTATGCCTAATTAGATAGAGTTTTTGCAATGATTGAGAGTGTGCTCCTTTTCTTACCGCCATGTACAGGGTGTCCATAAAAAAAAGTACACTTTTGAAATTCGATATCTCTGGAACGGTAAAGCATAGGACAGTGAAATTTTAGGGGGATACTCAGGGGGTCATGGGACTGTTTGAGACTGTTTTGCAAAATTTAAAAAAAAATTCCCATATTTGCAATCTTGGCAGATTGACGAAGAGCTTAGCACAAGTGCACAAGAAACGAACAAACGTTTGGACACGTTTCAGCTTGAACGGAAATATTTGTAGAGTTTACCTTAGAACCTTGGCACGGTTGAATGGGGAAGATCCAGAAGGCGGGCGACGGCGACAGAACGACTGCTGCTCATTCAATGTGTACTTGTGCCAGGCTCATCGTCAATCGCACCTCTGATTTCAGCGACATCTACAGGGGTTCACTGCCTGGCTCCATGCGGCTTGTTGCAAACACAACCCGTCTCCTCGAACTTATCGACCAAATTCATCAGAGCTTGCCTCGAGCAGGACCCCAAACGCATGCTGTGTGCTGCGCGGTATTTTCGTAAGGCAACAACGGCATTACACTTGTTGGTGTAGAAAAGCTTTATTAGTCCGCCTCTCTACTTCTTAGTCAAAATCAACACATTTCTATTATGAACTAAAATTATTACATACTTTCAGTAGTGGTTCAATACTGCCAAGATTGCAAATATGGGAAATTTTTTTTTTATTTTGCAAAACAGTCTCAAACAGTCCCATGACCCCCTGAGTATCCCCCTAAAATTTCACTGTCCTATGCCTTACCGTTCCGGAGATATCGAATTTCAAAAGTGTACGTTTTTTTATGGACACCCTGTAGTTTAGGGAAGTCGAAGGCTCTGGTAGATACGTCCAGAGGCGTTTTTGCTTATTATGAAGCCCCATGCCAAGATCAAGTTTTCATATACAAGGTGATGGGCCTACCCCTGTTCCACGTCATCGTTCCTTAATGATTCTAGAAGCCTGGACGAGGTCTTCACTCTTAACCTCTCCAGCAAATACTGAACTTCTCTCATGCTTCGAAACGCTTCCCATATGAAGGTCTTCGTACCTCCGTTTTCGAAGCCCGCCTCGGAACCCTTCCCAGAACCGTTATTTCACTTCGGCTTCTTAGCCTCCAAAATTGGAGAAAATATTCTAAATAGGTTCTTAGTACTGCTTGCAACAGATGACGCGCGAGGTAAAACTCGAGACTAGACGGCAGATGGAACCTAAATCCTACCATCGCTTGCGAATACTGGAGCTCTTCATATGTCTCTGGGCCCCCTAAATCCCTGTGAGATAAGAAAGTGGGAAGAATTGTTTGCCAGGTGGTTTCACCAGGGCCTGGCGAACGACGAGACGTGGCACAATCAAAACCCGAGATCCAAGCAGTTTCCAAAGATTTGAGACAGGTCCGAACAGGGTATCCAGAGTTCAGCAAGAGTAGTGAGGGGAGATGAAGTGGTGATCACTGACTCACGGCTGGGACGAAAGGAAATCCTTGGAAGCTTGAAACCTCAGATTGCCTCCTGCTCGAATGCCTTAAGAATACTCCAATCCCCGAATGAGGGGAGCAACGGGCTATTTAATGGGGGGTGCTACTCTAGCCCGATGTAAAAGATAAGGATGAAAAGAAGGGATGAACCCTTCAGGGCTGGATACAAGGCTCCCGAAGGCGTGAAAAGGGAGGTGAGCCAAGGGTGAAACCTTCAAGGTTAAGATATGACATGCATAATCAGGAAAAAAATTGGGGATGAGAGCATTTGTCCCCCTGCTCTTCCGCTTGCTGCGCTCTTGCCTCATATTCACCTGATATTACTCCTATTCCTCCTTTAACCCGTGTGTGTATACGATTTCCACTTCTGCTTCTTGCATCGGATCAACGTCTTAAATGTTTCTTCCAGTGCCGTTGGACGAATGGGCCGATGGCACCTACCGGCCATCGGCCCGACGGCATTGAAACAATTAATGTAAAATTAACTGTTTCAATCAAAGAGAGACCCGGTGCCATAGCAATATCTTCGACTGCTTAGGAATGCAAACTTCAAAGGACCTTTGAATACACCGTGTTTAGTACATCTCACTGTTCCAATACCTTGTCACCGTCGTAACTCCCCTTCGCAATCTGGACTCCCAACGCATTCAAATCCGCTTAGCTTTTATATTTTATCTGCCAATCGTGCATTTCGGTCGTTTGATAGCCCACGTGTTCACGAAATGATCCGGATCCTCAATTTATCTTGGACTTTAACATCAAGCGCCTGGTCGTCATCCATTACGAAAATCAAATCCAATAATGCGACATTTCTGGTCGGTTATTGAACGTGCCGCTCTTGAAGAGCATCCTGGATCGCATGGAGAAACTCCCACACCCCTCTCTCTTCCCCCTCACGGGATCCATCAATTATATGAAGCATATCTCAAAAGAGAAAACACGCAGTGGCATATGTTGGAGACTTTTCTCCTTTTCATCTATAATCATTGGACTGTTTGGTCTAACCCTCCCCCTCCCCCTCCTTCCTATTCCCCGTTTTTCATCGTTCATCGGCCTCCATTTTCCATCATCCACTTCCATGTTTATTTTTCGTCCTCGTGGAAACCTTGTCCTGGTCAGTTGTTGAAGCTGGAGGCGCCTCACCCATCTCTAAGAGACAAAGTGGATCGGTAACCCGGAAGGAAGCAACTGTGGCTTCTCGGCTTTTCTCAATTTCGGATCATTTGATTCATCATTCATTTGATCAAGTCATTCAACTTTTATTCTAAATTGTATTTATTCATTTATGGAGGGTTTCTGTGGGTATCATGGGTTCTGAAGATAGACATTTTATATGAAACTCCGACAGTTCTTTTCCGCCAGAAAAAAGACTGAGCACGTTTTTTATTCTTTCAAAAAAATACTGAAATTTTAAGTCGAATCTCGATTTTCCTGTTCCATTCACTCGCGATACTTCTGCAGCACTGTAGAGAGACAGAAAAGGTTCGTTGAATAGATTTCTCCTGAAGTCGCGTTTTCCAGACCGGTTGAATGGTCGGAAACTACCTAAGGGTCACAAAGGCCCGTATCGTTCGAAGAGAGTATGTACACCACGTTAAAGGTATATATATATGTGCCTAAAATACATGTGAAAGAGGGGGAGAAAGAGGGGAGAGGTTTGACATAATAAAAAGCCTCCGTCGTCGTGTGGGATGTCCAATTGAATGGAATTGAATCGAAAAAAAAGCCCCTATATGAAATGAAAGGGGATTTCATGGCTCATTTGAAGCTGGAGAGGGGATGTCTCCCCCCTTTGTAAGATTTTGTTTCGAATCTCCATCCCGGCCTTCGGTTTACAAGTCTTTCAAATGCGTCTGTCTGCATGCTTTAAAACGGTAAGCCTGGGATGCACGACTATACCCGTCACTCAAAAGTGTAGACCGCTTTGTCGGAGACATACCGTCGCGGTTTTGGGGGGGAAAGTCATACCGCATGTACATTTAGAGCAAATACCGAGACTTCGATGCAAGTTCTTCACGTATTTTCGTCATCAAAGAATGGGATGATGTTATGTTCGATTTTAAGCCTCTTCCACGATGATGCGAAAAGGAGAAATACCCCTGGAAGGGGAATCCAACCGGTAAAATGAAGCACGGAATACGCGATTTATGTCGACGCAATCGAAACCTTTTGAGGAGGCAGCCAAAAGGAGAAGTCAAGGATCCAAAACATTTTCCCTTATAGGGTTTGCATCTCTGTAGCCACTCTGCAGAAATCATGTACCTATTAGCAAAGGAAAATATGCGACTTTTCATGACGCCCCATCACATACCCAAGATATCCTCATTATTTTTTTTATTATTTGTAAAAAGGGCTTTAAACTTTTCCCATGTGGAGGCCGTAGAGGTTCAAAGGAAAAAATGTCATCTTGGGAGTCTACGTGGCATTAACCCAATGCATCCTCATGAAAGCACGATGCTAGAAAATGGTTAATAAGGTGGCTTTTCTTTTTTAACTAGACGCCGTTCTTTATGGTTGAAAGTCTAAGGGCCAACAAAGGACTTGTCAGTTGTGCCATTTCAATGAAGCTCATCCTGAAAAGGAATGCTCCTGACAATTTCGTCAGTTATCTTTCATTGCGGCATGGTTATCTTTCATTCTTACTTTCAGGCCTTTAAGACTTAAAAGTGAATGCATGACGCGTATCGTTCGATGAATATACCAGTAAACCGATCTCTTTCTTATCCGGCAATTTCTCCTAAGGCAACGTGTCATTCCTCGATGACATTCCGGCTTCCGATTCTCGGCGTGAACTGCCAATTCCAATATCCACAGAACATGACAAATTAATTACATCATGTATCGGATGTTATATCCTTTATCGTTGTGCAAGTGTCCCTCCGAAGCCCATAAATGCAAATTCGAAGGGGTCCTTTTTTCCCGCTTTTTTTTATGAGTCCGCTTGTCTTTTGATTCTCCTCGCTCCGTCCATTTGTCAAGGGGGCTTTCAATAAAGTTCCTCGGCCCTCGCCTTCATAGCTCATTAGATTCGACACGGGTCCCTCCGATATAATAAGAGACCAGGTGGCAGCTGGAGATCGGGATAAAGAGAGGGCCGTGCCATAATGCATGCGATCCGTATCCATCCCACCCACGCGAGGCTCAAAAAGCGGAAAATTCCTCACTCACAACCCGGTGATAAATGAAATCTCGGTGAAATGTCATTAATCAATCATTAGTCGGGGGAGGAAGGGAAAAAAAATGTTTTCCCATTTCTATTCATGGAATCGATGATATGAAGGCATTGAAATAAACATCTGCCGTGACGGAGGAAGTGGAAAAGCGAGAGAGTGGAAGTAAGTTTTACCCTTTTTTTTCGTGTCACCTCTTCATGATGCGAGGCCGTGTTTCCGATCCACGGCTTTCATATTCCACGGCGTCTATGATAGACCCATGAACGTCATGTCAAAATTAAACCAGCATATTGCGTGTCAGAGAGGGGGATGCGTGACGACAATATTTCACGTGCCATTCTGCGTTTCGCATACATAATGCTGCGTCAGGCCAGATGGTCAGTGCAAGAGGGCAATGCCGGCCTCGTATCCCTCCGTCGACTCTGATTTGGTTCGTGTTTACACATGCTACGATATTCCAATCTCGGGACTCCCGTATTTGTTCTCGTTCGCACGAATCCGATGTTGGCATTCGTGAGTGGGACTCTCTCCTCCTTCCCTACTTCTATTTGCCTCCAATTTCGCTTTTCACCATTAGGACTACGGCAACGTGTTGATCGCTCTGCGTCCGATTCGAGTCACGTGAAGGGAACCCCAAAATAAAGGTAATATTTAAATGGGCTATGTGATAAAAAGAACTTTGTACGGTACTGTACTGTAAACACACAGTAGCAATGGCATGATGTCATCCGAAAATAAATGGTGAAAGCGAGATATGATTACAAGAAATAAGCGGCTATACGAATGCTTGTAAAATTAGCCGTCAACTTATGATGGGAGGATAGTTTAGCATCAATCAATATGAAACGGGCTGCAGCTGAGCTGTAGAACGGCATTTAATGACATGTTCCCTCCGGACGTGAGGATGTGAACAAGGGATCTCGTTCCCCATCAATCAATTCACTCGGGGGGGAAGGGGAGGGGGAGAAAGGGTTTTTTCTACCGACGGGAACCCTTTCCCGTGGGAGGAAACTCATTGAGATGTTGGGTCCTACGAGTTTCGAGGGTCCTTCAACTACAAAATAACGGAAAGATCCCGAAGGCTTTTTCTTTTTTTTTTTAACTGCACTCGAGACCGGAAGGGATCCCATATCTCACACGCACACGCCCATTCATCGATTTTTCGATTTCAGGCATTGAATATTTGATGAGAAGAAGAAAAGCAGACACGAGGCGGGTGTTCGTGAGTTCGCATGACCTGGGTCGGATTTGCTTGCACAATGCAATCCGGATTCCACATGCCCAGCGGCGTCCACGAGGAGATAATCCCTTCAGAGAAAGGAAGGTGACTTTATTCAGGAACACCCTCAATGTATTCCATGCAGACTAGAATTTCGACGAGTTCGAATGTTTCTTCGTTGAGCCACAAAATGAAAAAAAAAGGTGGGAATTGAGATCGGTGGATGCTGTGCCAAATCACTCGGTGTGGAATTCTATCACAGTATTTTCTTTTAGGAATGTTTTTCTTTGTCGTCGCATTTGGACTTGCAGGTGCAGTGCGGACAAGGTTGGAATTCGTTGCTTCCCGAATGTTCTTCCTTCTTGAACTTGACCCGTCGGTTTTGGAACCAGATCTTGACCTGTTTCTCGGAGAGACGGAGCCCGTTGGCAATCTCGATCCGCCGCAGCCGCGACAGATACCGATTCGTCGCGAATTCTCGCTCCAGCTGTAGCAATTGCGTGGAGGTGAACGCCGTTCTGACTCGTTTCGTCTCCTTCAGACCTTTCCCTCCGTCTTCATCCTCGTTCTTTTCCTCTTGCGAGGATTCCCGTTCGTCATCTCCCTTCACACTTTCCTCTGAAATATCGAAAACCCGGATCATTTATAGTCTCTCTTGAAGCAGAAACAAATCCCCACACGAAACCTCTTTGCGAAAAAAAATCCAGAACTCACTCCAATGAATTGGATCAGTTGAAAACAGCATCAGATAACTCAGATACATTTATGACATCAAAGCTATGGGAAAGATATTAAGCTCAACGTTATAAAGCAGTGGTCGGCAACTGAATTTCTCGGGGGGAAGGGGGGGGGGTCCCCGGATGGCAGAGTGCTGCACGTTCGCGGGTCAACACCTATCAAGTGTAATCAAAATGTTCATATTAACACTTTGCGTACCGCTCACGGAGTTCTCCGTTTTTGAGTCCTTTTGCATAGCCTATGGCCGAAAAAGTCAGAGGGTGGATTTTTGAACAGAGCATTATCCGATAATGCAGCTTTATTTACTGGATTTATAATGCATTTTCTCTGAAATAAAGCTGCATTATCGGATAGGGCTCTGTTCAAAAATCCACCCATAGCCTTGTATAGGAGGCTATGACTTTTTGCTGCCTATAGGCTGATGCCTATAAGCATCGAGCTTTAGGCTAAGGAAACTGAGGCTTGGGTCAGAGCGGCGGATCGACGGGATAAAATGTACGGTACGCAATGTGTTAATAAATGTCTGTCAAACGCACAGCCGGACGTCTACTGTCAGACCGTGATGTGCGATAGCCGGGTCTCCGCGGGCCGCCTGTTGCCGATCACTGCTATAAATATTCAGACGGTCATACGATGTGGATACCAATCCCAGAATTTGCAATGTGACTGCATCGATCAATCCAAGAGTTGATGGCTGCATTGGGGCCCGTTTTTCAATACAGCAAGTTTTCGATCTTGCGATAAGAATGTCTGTTTCCAACTTGTCTATTTGAGAATCCAATTGTTACCCTGACGATAAGTGTGAAAGCGAAAATGCAATTTAACATTCCGAAGTGACCATGTTAAGAAACAGACAAATGAAAATATGGGGCGTAGTTGAAATGGTTTACGACTCGCTTAGCTTGCGAGTGGTACCTAGAACGATTACCCAAGCTTTCGTGCATTTTTTCAGTAGTTTCTCCCTCTGTCGAAAGGATGAGCTACTCACTCTCTTGAAAGCGCATTGATTTACCAAATAACATACTTGGAACTCCCATGACATAGATATTCTACAGGCACCCTTTCTCTGTCGACTGCTTTAAGCATGTTGAACGCGAAGAAAATTCGAATTCCTACAGGAGTACTGGCAAAAGAAAATAGTCTTGATGCCTTTAGGATTCCACATGCTTCTTTCCATACCTTTTTCCTCTTCCCAAACAAGCGGGAATCGTTCTGCATAGAACGTCATGGAACTACAGAGAGCACAACTGGCTCTGGTCTGTAGAATGATTTAACTCGATGAGAGGCAGGGTGTGAAGCAGAAAACATTTCCACTTATGAATGCAATTCGTAATCGGCACGCGTTCAGGACATTGGTCGGCTCAGAAAAAGAGAAGAATTCAAATTTTTGTCTGCCGTGATATGGAAGCAATGGAGGAAAGGGCGAATGCATAGGTAAATCTCAAAAGCCACGAAGCACTTTCATTCTGGAGCGTCATTTGAACAGATTGAGAAAAAAAGAAGAAATACAGGCATTATAGAGGAGCATGGACTACGAAAATGTAATAATCATGCTCCATTGCCCTTACTATTTGCTATGAAATATTCGCCAAGTGATTTCCGGTCTGATTCTTGCATTCCCAGAGTCTGACAAGAATTTTGGGGATGACCCATTCTCGAATGTTTTCACGGATGGCGGCCAGGAAATTGTGTTTCTTTCCTTCTTTCAGCGCAGCACACAGAGGGAATGTGCACTCACGATTCTTGTACTAGAAGAAGCGGAAAGTGTGCACCACCAACATAGACGTCCGGAAACGGGTCGTTAGTAGACTGCGGGAATTAAAATTCACATGGGGCCAGATCTGGTGAATTCGTCACACTGTTTCAGGGACTTTCTAAAGGAGTGTTTTGTAACGCCTACAAAACTCCATTCGGCGTCGACGACCTCAGCTGTGGGAGTCTCACGATTGGTTTCTTCAGCACGACAATGCCCCTGCTCACCGATCCTTGGCTGTGGCCTATCTAGCGATACATAACGTCACAACCATATAGCATCCGCCGTACTCTCCAGATCCTGCCCATGTGACTTTTTCCTGTTCCCTCGGTTGAAGTCTCATCTCAAAGGACGCAGATTTCTTTCAACAATTGAGGTGCAAGCTGCTTCGCAGGAGGCGCTACGCATGGTTGCTAAGAATGGCCAACAGAACTGCTTCCAAGCACACCACCAACGCTGAAAGCGGTGTGTGAATGCCCATGGCATGTACTTTGAAGATGCTCATGTGTCAGTCGTGCCATGGTACTCAACGGCGGCAGGGTAATATACGAGGTGCAGTCAGAAAGTCCATACCGTCGAGCCATATCTCATTTACAGTCAGGAGTTCTGAATAGAAACTGCGGTCACTTCTTAACATAATCACCTGCTTTACCTACACACAGTTTCCACCATCGTTACCAGTCACTGAAGAACTTGGCAAATGCTTCCTCAGGTGTATGTTTAAACCACTGGTAAACTGCAGTACCACGAGCTTGTCGGGAGTTATACATCTTACTCTGTAACAAATCCTCGAGTTCTGAGGACACCCAAAAATCGTTGGGTGCCAGGTCCGGTGAGTACGGGGGATGGGGCAAGGCCTCAATACCATTTTCTAAAAAATCTCCCTTGCAACACCTGCCTTGTGTGGTGGTGCATTGACCAGGTGAAGAATGAACCAGTCATTGGCCTTCAACGGACGCAATTTTTTTTACTGCCGGTAAAAGCTCAGTTTGTGACACATGTTTATAGCAGCTTCCATTATTGGTTGCACCTTTAGGAACTGCGTGAGGTAGAACTAAACCCTGTTTGTCCAGAAAAATAACGTAAAAACTTTCTCATTGGAAGGGGCCTGACGGATCACACACATTTGATCACAGTTCTTTGTTCTTCCTCCGCGAACTCCATTGCTCAGGGACAGTAGGGGAAACTCTGTGTCGAAAAACCAATGCTGAACACAAACAACTATACCAACAATGTTCATAACGTGCTGTCTGACTCACAACTGATCATAATACCTTGTCCAACCGTAATTTATTCCAACTAATTCCAGAAACGTATGCTAGAAGCGTGCGGTACGGACTTTTTGACTGCACCTCGTATATATATATAGGTGAGAAAAGCAATGAAAAGGACACTTAGGGTGTAATTCTACATGTATTTTTATTTACTCGAATGCGAAACATGATGTGACTGATCTGGCCCGAGGACCGTATTTTGCACACCCCTGTCCTTGAAATCGAAACCTTGGAGAACTCCCGGCCAGGAAGCCGGAAGAGGGCGTAGGTCCAGGGGGTTCTCGAAGATGCAGCCCATTCTGGGCGTGTTTCTCTTCTCACAACCATATCTGTTTGATTGGAGTACATTGTACAACATATGAGGCTCTCGCATCGCCCTCCACCTCCCAGGGTGGCATGGTAGAAGGTAAAGACCGTTCACAGGGCTTCCATTTCCTGTCTCGGACGATATTAAGGTTCTTTACTGTATATAGGCGGTCACTGGTATCGATTCCTCTAGGGTTCCAAGTTCAAAAATTCACTCGAGAGGGACTTCATCCTGAATGGAAGCCTATTCGACCTTTTTGGGATGACATATCCCCGAACACAATACTGACGATTATGTGCAAGGTTCATCGATTTCTTGAAGAGGGACGAAGACAAATAGATCAACCAGGAACATGTTTCACACCGCGAATTAAACAACGCCTTAAAATGCAGCTTATTACAAGACCAGAGGTGCAAGTGAGGGGATAACGTTCAATAGACTTGAAGACGTAAAACTCGATAGACCCAAGCTGAATGGGTTTGGAGCCCATTCAGCTATTAATCATCGCACACAAGCATTGGAAAATACACTCCCCGGGTCTGGATTCTTCTGGTACGGCGTTCGCCTTGGTAAATTCCCTCTTTGGTTATGCAGTCGACTCCGCATATTGGAATACTCACGGGACCAGCGAACTTTATTCTATAATCCGGAGTATTCCAATAACAGAAACTATCTGCTGTATCGTACCATAAAACGGGACCGTGCAATGGTATTCCATTAAGCGGTATTCCATTATGCGGAGTCGACTGTAGTTATTCAAGTATTTTGCTTTATACGTGTCAATTATGAAATTCATTATCCGGTTTGCCATAGAGAAATCCAATAACAATTTCTGATGACGTAATGGCTGAGCTTCTGCATGGAGTGTTTAATGGGCTTTATCTTTGACACACGAAGAGTTGGAAAGTACAGTTAGACGTTTTTTCAAGTTTCAACTGTGTCTTACAAAACAAAGAAATTAAGTCACGCAGAAAACAGGGGGACCAGGGAAACTTTTTAGCCGCACTTCCCACGCAGGATTCCTTTACGGGATTGGCTCTACCAGACAGAGCTCTCCGCTGCTTCTCGTTGTCGTGCATGGTCTTTCATGAAGAAATTAAAAGCCAAAATGGCACCAATTGCGTTTCATGTCACGAGTCGTATAGGTAACAAAAACCTTTCTCGTCATTAGAGACTGGAGTTCGATTCCATGTGGGATAAGGGCTACAGAATGTGTCATAAATTGTCACAGGCAGATTAGAGCAAGTCGCTTCTGCTCTTCATGCCCCCTCATGCATAATTCATTGAAAATCCTGAGCTGGGTCACCCTGAATATCAGGTGGTTCAAAAAGTTCCCAATTTCACAAGCCTAGCGAGGGAAAACTATAAATGTTAAAGAAAAGAAACTTACATGGCGTGAGACAAGATAAGTAGATGATGACGTGAACATTTCAGAGGAATTGACCGTTTATGATCCGAGTTTCAGCTTTTTATCCGCGCGATGTCAAAAAGCGAAGTGTGCCAGTGTACACATCTTGGATGATTCCCATACGATGGGACTGGTCTTCCGGAAGTTCAAGAGAGTTGCCAGA